ACGCATCAAGGGAGGGTTTTTTCAGGGTGGGCGTGATGATGGCAGTTTTTAATGGAATGGGGACAGAGCCAGAGGAGAGGGACAGGTTGATGATGTCAGTGATATGTGGGGCAAGAAAGTGGAGCTGGGAGATAAGGAGTGGAGTGGGGATGGGGTCAAGGGAGCAGGTGGTTGGTTTTAGGGATAGGATGAGTTCAGTGACAGAGGGTGGGGAAACGGGTACGAAGGTGTGTAGGGGAGGATGGGTAGGAGTCGGAGTGTGGGAGGGAAGGGGTGGGTGGTGGGTGGAAGTTGGAGGGGAAGTGACCGCGGAGCGGATTCCCTTGATCTTGGATTCAAGGAAATCCAGCATCTCCTCGCAGTGAAGGTTGGAGGAGATGACCTGCGCGGGGTGGCGGGGGGGACGGAGGACGGAGGACGGAATTCACCTCAATCCTGTCTACATATACGTACTGAATAATAATCATTGAATTTGAGATAGCACCTTATCACATCGTCAAGATATCTCAAAACGCATCACAGGATATACTGTAAAGTGTATTTTTGCGACAAAATCACTTTTAAGGCGCACATCAGGAGCAGGAATCATGGCTGACCAGTCTATAGCCCATCTCGTCCATCATCTACAATGCAGTTTTAACTAGTTAAATTCTAGCAGTTACCTCTGAGGCCCTCAAGCTCTTGTCCACCTGCATCGAATATTCTCCAGAATTAGGTACCCAAGGAGAGCGTGCACATTCCATTCCAGGCAGAGGCACATTTCCACAGATAGGTGGTATAAATATGGTATTTTTCACAGGTTTCCTCAGGTAGGTGGAACTCCTAATCTAATTTTAGATACTCTTAAAAGCATTTGTTGGATTTTCACTAGGTACCCAAAAAAAAGTATTTCTCTTATTCTATTATATCTTATTCTGAAAGAATCCAGGAAATCTCAGAGACCTAGATTTCATATCATTTTCCTGCTCCTTATAAGTGATGCTTTTATTTCTGCAAACAAGGATGTGCAAACAAGGATGCATTAGGCCACTAAATACATACAGTCATTGCACTTAACAGTACATCCTATGAAGCGATTGGGTCATTCTCCCGATGTGAAAAGCGCTACATTATTGTTATTTGCTATCAGAGGTACAGAAATACAAGGAGATTGTTTTCACAGATTCTAACTTAAGCGCGCCAAGATTTTACCCTGCGTGAAAGGCGATATATAAATACAAGTTGTTTTTGTAGGTTTCTACAACAACAACAACAAGATTCCATTTATAAAGCGCCTTTCACGTCAGGAGGACGTCCCAAGGCGCTGTACAGTTGGGTCATGACCCGAGCAGGGGGGAAATGGTCAGGGTGAGGGGAGGGAGGGAGCAAGGAGGGGGGAAATGGTCAGGGTGAGGGGAGGGAAGGGAGGGAGCGAGGAGGGGGAAGAGAGTCGAGAGGGGAGCTGAAGGCACGGTCAAAGAGAAAGGTTTTGAGACCGGCCTTGAAGGAGGAAAGGGAGGAAGCAAGGCGAAGGCACTGGGGGATGGAGTTCCAGAGCCTGGGGGCTGAGAGGCTGAAGGCCCGACCACCGATGGTAGGGCGGTTGGGGCGGGGGACGTGGAGCAGACCGGAGCCAGAGGAACGGAGGGTACGGGCAGGTAGGTAGGGGGATAGTAGGTTGGAGAGGTAGGAGGGAGCAAGGCCGTGAATGGCCTTGTAGGTGAGGATGAGGATCTTGAAATCAATCCTCTGGGGGATGGGGAGCCAGTGGAGGCGAGCGAGGGTGGGAGTGATGTGGTCCCGAAGCCTGGTGCGGGACAGTACACGAGCTGCAGAGTTCTGAATGACCTGCAGTGTGGAGGGAGGTGGCGGGAAGGCCGGCGAGGAGAGAGTTCCCATAGTCCAGCCTTGAGGTGACAAAGGCGTGGACCAGGGTTTCAGCAGCGTGAGGGGTGAGGTAGTGCCGTAGTCTGGCGATGTTCCGGAGGTGATGGAAGGCGGTGCCAGTTGTGGTGCGGATGTGAGGGAGAAAGGACAGCTCAGGGTCGAACAAAACGCCGAGGTTCCTGACTGGCTTTGAGAGGTGGAGAGTGCAGCCTTGGATGCTGATGGTGTCAGCGCCTGAGGTGCGGAGGCGCTGACGTGAGCCAATCAGGAGGGCCTCGGTTTTTCGCACGTTGAGCTGAAGAAAGTTGTCTCTCGTCCAGGACTCGATGTCGGACAGGCAGGCTGTCAGGACATCGGTGGTCGTGGAGTTGAGAGTAGAGGAGGAAAGGTAGAGTTGGGTGTCATCCGCATACATGTGGAAGTTAACTCCATGTCTGCGGATGATGTCACCGAGGGGGAGCATATAGAGGGTGAAGAGGAGGGGACCGAGGACAGAGCCCTGAGGGACACCACATGAGACAGTGCGGGGGGTGGAGGAGAAGCCATTCGTCGAGACAAAGTGAAGACGGTGAGAAAGGTACGACCTAAACCATTCAAGGACAGTGCCTTGAAGGTTGAGGTGGGAGGACAAGCGGTGGAGTAGGATAGCGTGGTCGACCGTATCGAATGCTGCCGATAGGTCGAGGAGGACGAGGAGACAGAGGGAGCCCTGGTCACAGATGGTCAGGATATCATTGGTGACCTTGACCAGGGCAGTTTCTGTGCTATGGGCAGCACGGAAACCTGACTGAAGGGTTCAAAAAGAGAATGGGTGGAAAGGAAAGAGCGCAGTTGGGAGGCGACAACTCTTTCCAAGACCTTGGAGAGAAAGGGGAGGTTGGAGATGGGCCGGTAGCTTGATAGCTGCGACGCATCAAGGGAGGGTTTTTTCAGGGTGGGCGTGATGATGGCAGTTTTTAATGGAATGGGGACAGAGCCAGAGGAGAGGGACAGGTTGATGATGTCAGTGATATGTGGGGCAAGAAAGTGGAGCTGGGAGATAAGGAGTGGAGTGGGGATGGGGTCAAGGGAGCAGGTGGTTGGTTTTAGGGATAGGATGAGTTCAGTGACAGAGGGTGGGGAAACGGGTACGAAGGTGTGTAGGGGAGGATGGGTAGGAGTCGGAGTGTGGGAGGGAAGGGGTGGGTGGTGGGTGGAAGTTGGAGGGGAAGTGACCGCGGAGCGGATTCCCTTGATCTTGGATTCAAGGAAATCCAGCATCTCCTCGCAGTGAAGGTTGGAGGAGATGACCTGCGCGGGGTGGCGGGGGGGACGGAGGAGTCGGGTTGTGGTGGAAAACAGTAGCCTGGGGTTGTTCTTCGCCTCCAGGATTATCCTGGAGTAGAAGGACGACTTGGCCGAGGCTAGAGTGGAGCGGTAAATTTTGAGGAGGTCCAGCCAGATTTGTCGGTGGACCGTTAGGCCAGATGTTGCTATTGGAGATAAGCTGAAGTGATCTGTCTGTGAGCTGATATAGACTCGATGGGCTGAATGCCCTCCTTCTACGCTGTAGATTTCTACGTTTACCATTTCGAAAACTGGTTGTAGTGAATTTGCAAAATGTTCTAGGAGACGGACTGGGCTTGTGCCACAGAGCAGAGGGATGATAAGCTGCATGTGATTAATGAGGATTGTTGAGCACTTGATCAAGCTATTTAAATCGTATTCATATATGCACGATTAGAATAGTGCTGGGAGCATGATTGTGGAGGTTCGCTCTTGACCAATATTCTGCAGCTTATGACTCGTCCAAAGCATGACATCTCCCAATGCAACACACCCTAGCATGGAGTGTCAGCCTGGACTGTGAGTTCAAAGTCCAGACATGTAGCCTGAGCCCACAACATCTGAGCCAGAAGCAAGAGTCCTACTTCCTGAGCCAGGCTGAAACCGAGGTTATCGAAGGTTAATTAAACAAGAATATTTTAAATCGGTTGATTTCTCCCTTGAAGACGATGACTGAAGATAGAAAAATTCTGCCAAAACAAGAGCCCAGTGTTACACTAATGGATAGTAATAACAGTATTGGGTATCAGAGCAGTAATTTGTCCACAAGACCATAGTTGCACTTCAAAACACTGAATTTCTATACACCATTGTTATCTAAACCAAAGCATGTATCTGCTTCGCCCAGCATTGCGTGTGTCAAGGATTACTTGGTATCTATTGCTGAAAGAGTTGATAAGCATCGCTCATAGACCCATTTCGCATCTATTTGCTGTGTGATAGGAGCATTTTCTCTTGTGTTTTTGGGTGTCTCACTGAATAGATAACATGAATCTTTATCAATCAGAATCAAGTGCAGTCGGCTGGCTTTGACACCATTGGCTTTGACAGCTAATCTATGTTGCACATTGCAGCCTGAAGAGCATTGGAATGAAAAGACCTTTCTTGTCCATTTGGCTGATCCCAAAGTCTCAAAAACAAGTTGTGCGCTACTCTGTCTCGGACCTCCATTTGCCAAACAGCTGTCTAATTTCTTTGGAATTTGCTTCCCTATCTTCCTTCACAATCTGTACTGGCTCCCTGGGTCGCCTATTCCACAAATTCACTGCTCTCAAGTCATTAAATCGGAACTGTCTGTTCACCTTCCATCTGCGGAGGGGAGCGCTTGTCCATTATTCTAGACTCTTTGACTGGGTTAAACACAGAATGATCTTGACTTCACTACATCAGCGTTGTGCTTGCTGGACTCTCCAGCTCTACACAAAATGCTTTACAGGGAGGAAAACATAGTAGAATTAAATGGTAACACTTGTATGTTCCCTACAGGCAAGTCAAGACGTTTGTATCTTTCACCATCCAAGAGTCGCTCCAAATTGCTCTCCTCTTTTTCAAGGCACATTTCAAAACATACTTTTGTCATCTTTCCTCTCCCCACCCTGCTTGGCTTCCACTCCCAGCTCGGTGCCCGTCCAGCACTTGTGAAGTGCATGGAGATGTCCTCCCAACATGATGCTATATAAGTGTAAATTGTATTGTTTCTGATAGCATCAAATGAGCAGATTTCACTGATCTGCAACCTTCGTAATAAGTCAAGCCTGCAGTGTCATTAATTCTTTCCGTTTCTCCCCCCCACCCCCTCTCCATCACAGACTTGCGTTGTCCGAGCCTGGGATATGAAGAGGCCACTGCTGTTCTGCCCGGCCATGAATACAGCAATGTGGGAGCATCCCATTACAGCAACGCAGATTGAAACACTGAAATGCTTTGGTTATATTGAAATCCCGTGCATTGCAAAGAAACTAGCGTGTGGAGATGAAGGTTGGTGATAACAACAACAAATTACATTTCTATAGTGCTTTTTATGTCGAGAGGAAGTTCCAGGACGCTGGACATCCTAAGGCATCCCATTTCATCATCATAATATGGTCCTGTAGCTCACTGGTTAGAGCCCTTACCTCACAGAAGACCTGGGTTTGATTCCCGGCAGGGCGATACGTTGGGCAAGTTTCCTTACTCCACACATCTCTGTTTACCTAGCAGTAAGTAGGAACTCAGTTGTTAGTCAGTTGGCGGATCGCTTTTCCGATGGTAATAATTCATTCAAAATAAATAAAAATAAATCGGTCACTTCAATCCACGACTGTTTGTAGGACGCTGCTGTGCGCGATTGGCTGCCACGTTTCGCCAACAAAATATATAGTCAATTCACCTTACACTATATCCTGTGAAGCGCTTTGAGACATCTCGAAGACGTGATAAAGCGCTGTATCAAATGCAAGGATTATTATTGTTGTATGTATTGGTACAAAGTCTATCCCACAGTTTCGTTTCTCGGAGGTGACATTCCGGCTGCCTTCTCCTGCATTAAGATTCGCAAATGCCATTTTCAGCCCTCGGAGTATTAAGAATAACAAAAACTGCCATTTACAATTTGAAAATCAAAATTCTTTAAAAAAGTCACCCGCACGCAGTTGAAATCTTGCACAACATCAGCTGACAGATAAGACAAGCCTGGCCCAGCTGTTTCCAATGCAACCTGTTAAGGTGTTAAGATCTAAATTCAGATTTCAGATGTTCGAAATTCAAAAATCCATAATAATAATAACCCCTGTGTTTTTTATACTGTTATCTCATTAAGTGCCGCAAGACACTTCACAACAAATTGATTGTATTTGTTAGGTGAACATCACAGCCAATTTGTGCACAGCAGTGACCCAGATACATCCAATTAATAATTGAAGGTTTTGGGCAGAATACCAGTGGAAACTCCCTTCCCTCTTCAAATAGCCAGGAGGCAGAGAAGCAAAAGAAAGGAGATTTGGAAAAAGGAAAGAAGCAAAAAAATTAAGAGGACTGCAGGCTAAACTTAGCAAATGCAAGGATTATTATTATTATTAACATTATGAAGGATGCAGATAGTGACATGAGCTCTTTAACATCCACCTGAATATGCAGGTAAGGCCTTAGTTTGAAGTCACATTTGAAGGACGGCACCTCCAACGATGCAGCCCACTCGTACTTTGTACTGGGGTGTCAGCTTGACCATATCCTCCACATAGGACTTGACCTGGAAACTGCTGATTCAAAGGCGAGAGCTCTACCAACTGAAATTTGGAACATCTCAATCGCATCACAATTAATCCAAATATTTTATTTATCAGCTAACATTGTACAAGATTTCAATCATGTTTGGGGAACTTTTTGAAAGAACCAGAGCTTTTATTTTCCAATTACAATTCTGAGTGTTGACTTGCAATTCTTAACCCGCACAAAACCTTTCTGATTTTCCAGTAATTTGAAGAATAGTGAAGATTAATGCCACGGTAACTTCAGTCTGCTGGGAATATAGATGCTTCTAGAAAAGAATTATACTAATAATCCTTGCATTTGATGTAGCGCCTTATCACGTCATTGACACGTCTCAAAGTGCTTCACTGCAAAGTGTAGTGATTGTATATTTTTGAAGCAAAACGCCCACACAATTCAGAGGAACAAAGGGAGTAAACATTGTTTTCTAACTGGGCGCTTTCAAATCCTGTCAGCTTAACTGTGTTACCTTCAAATAAGTTATCATTCTACTTAGCTTTTACATAAAGTAAGAAAGATTAATTTAAAGATTTATTAAGGAAATTACAATTAAAGACTTCAGATGGTTAGCAGGAAGGCTCGACACATTAAATTCTAGTGTTTTCAGTTATGATAAGCCTGCAGCCATCATGTTGAAAGTGTTTAAATTGCTTAGAACTTCAAGAAAGTTCTCTGTAGCATCAACAGATTTATTTTTTTACTCTGTCTCAGAGGGTGTGGGCGATGTTGGCGGTGATTATTGCCCTGAGTGGGTGGTAGTGCAGTCTGTGTGGTGATGTCGCTCCCACCATGGTATTGGGTGAGGAGTTTCAGGCTTGTGGAGTCCTATAGCTTAATGATAAGAGCACTTGCCTCGCAAGTGAGAGACCTGGGTTTGATTCAAGGTGGGGCTAAACTTTAGGCAAGTTTCCTCACTCCTCACGCCTCTGTTTACCTAGCAGTAAATAGGAAACTGATTGTTAGACAATTGGCAGATCGCTTTTCCGTGGGTAATAATCCCTTCAAAAAAATAGTAATAATGTAGTCACTCAATCCACAACTGTTTATGGGACACTGCTGTGCGCAATTGGCTTCCGCTTTTCATCCAGAAAGTATACAGTCAATTCACTTTAGCATATATTCTGTGAAGCACCTTGAGATATCTCAAAGACATGATAAATAAATAATAATCCTTGCATTTGATATAGTGCTTTTCAAGTCTTTGATTCACTCTTTCAAATGAATTGACTATATATTTATGGGCGAAACGCAGCAGCCAATTGTGTACAGCAATGATAAGGTGCTATATCAAATGCAAAGATTTTTATTATTATTATTGTTGTTGTAACCCAGTGATGATGAAGGAACGCTGATATAAGCCTCCGTCATGATGGGGAGTGCCTGGAAGGGGCACGTGGAGATGGTGGTGTCCCCATTGATACCACTGTCTTCCTGTACGGTGGAGGTCACAGGGCTACGAGATGATGCAGTACTTTCTGGACACGATACGTCCTCAACCACAAAGGGTCAGTGAAAGAGAGAATGAATTGACCTGAGTATTATTCCCCTGTGGTCAAAGTGGTAGTCGCGTGATAATTGTCAACGTTGAGCTATCTTAGATTCACTTTCCCTCCAGTTTATCTGCAGCTACTTGTATTTATAATCTGCCTTTCATGTATAAGATTATCTCTCGGTCTTAACAGAAATACACAAGTGATCTTGAAAGCAGTGAGATGGGTGGTGAGGCTGAGCAGTTTTGCAAGAGCGTAACAGAGGGCTGAGGTGTGGTGGCTCCAAGTGCTTGTGACATTATTGATTCATTTATTTGGCAGAATATTGAGACACTTGAGAATTTCAGCCATTAAAAATAGGCCCCTACTTGCTCTAATGATGAATTATTCTAAAATGTTAATAATAGTAGTTGGCTTCACGTGTTAATTTTATTTCAGAACGGAAATGAAAATCAGATCCATTTTTAAAATTCCACTAACGCCCAGTGCAAGGATTATTGTTATTGTATTATTATTCAACCCCATATGGGTGTTAGGAATAGAATAGGCACAGTATTCTTAAGGGCAATGGCTGACTTGCGGTCAGAATACAAACATTGTCACTGGCATGTATCAAAGCATTGTACTAACAGGTGAATTTTAACGGGAATTTATGTACCTAACAATACAGTCTTATTCTTGTGGGTCCAAGTGAGGAAAAGCAGCCTCTGAACATGCAAACATTTTCCAATGCAAATGTTATGGCATATTTAATAAGGAAAAGAGGTTTGTCCAATGCAAATCCAAATGTGCAGCTGATAAGCTATCAAGTCTCAACAGTTAACAATACTGAGTTGTGTAGCTTGGTGATTACAGCATTCGCCTTGCAAGGAGAGGACCTAGGTTTGCTTCTCGGTCAGGTGCGAAAACTTAGGCAAGTTTCCTTATTCCACCTCTCTCTACCTAGCAGTAAGTAAGAACCTGCTTGTTGGTCGATTGGCGGATCGCTTTTCCTGGGGTAATAATCCCTTAAATAACAACAACTTGCACTTATATAACGCCCTCCACTCAGGGTAGTGTCTCAGAGCAACGTAACACAGGGTAGCATCTCAGTAAATAAATGTTGTCACTCAGTCAGTTTTTGGGACTTTACTATGCACAACTGGCTGCCATGTTTCACACATAAAGTAGCATCCACTTTACAATATTATCTGTAAAATTCTTTGACACGTCCCATTGACATAATAAGGCGCTACATCACATGCAAGGCTTAGTATTATTAGTTTATTATTAATAATAATGCTTGCATTCGATGTAGGGTTAGGCATTTCAGAGGAGTGTTTCAGAAAGTTGGGGCAACAAAAAAGGAAAGGAAGAACGCGGGGGAGGGAAGGCTGAGGAGGGGAGCGAGAGTGGACTTCGGGCCTCGGGAAGGAGGACATGGAAAAAGAGAAACTTTAGGGGAGGGAAGGAGAGACGCTCTGTATAAAACAAAATAACTTGTTTGAACCTGTGTTCAGTGTTTGCAGCAATGGTATTGTGAATGCGCTGGTATTCAGTGTGCCACAACAACTTATATTTACTGTATATAGCACCTTTCACCTACGTAGTGTCTTGGGAGTGCCTAACAGTGGCGGGGCCTTGACGCTGACCCGGGAGATGGGAGAGGTGACTGTAGGAACGGTCGGAGAGGAAGGTCCTCAAGTGAGAACTGGAGGAGGGGGCAAGGTAGAGGGATTGAGACTGAGAGTTCTGTAGTTTCTGGTAGAAGTGACTGAAAGCATGGCCGCCAATGATGGAACGTAGGATATAAGGAAGGGGATGAGGGATGTGCAGGATGATGGACCCAACTAAATAAAGGGGCGGGTAACAGAGTAGGATATAAGCAGGTCAGAGAGTTAATGGAGTATCAGGGAATGAAGTGGTTTGTTTGCGTGTGTGAGGATCTTATAACTAATCCTTTCTGCAATAGTGGAGCCTGGCAAGGACTGGGATGGTGGGGGCGTGGATTAGGACCCAGTGACAGAGTTTTGAGTTAATTCTCAACTATCCTTTCTACCCCACATCTGCGCCTTGACCCGTTCTGCCTGCCCCCACCTCCGCAACGTCGCCTGGCTCCGACACTGTCTCACACCGCAGACTGCCAAAACCATCATACATGCCTTCATTACTTCGAGGCTCAACTATGCAAACTCATTGTTTGTCGGCCTCTCCAATTCTCCCTCCACAGGCTGCAGATCATCCAGAACCGTGTCTTCCCCCGCACCAGGCTATCACCCCCATCCTTGCTCAACTCCACCGGCTTCCCATCACACAGAGTTCAAGATCCTGGTCCTCATCTTCAAACCCTCCGCGGTCTTGTTCCCCGCTAGCTCTCCGACCTCCTAACCGCCTACTATCCTGTTCGCTCCGTCCACTCAGCGGCCTCCAGCCTGCTTCATGTACCCGGCCTCGCTTGCCCCACTATTGGTGGGTGGGCCTTCTGCCATCTGCCCCCATCCTGCAGTCCCTCCACCTCACCCCCTCCCTCACCACCTTAAAGACCCATCTCAAGATCCTCCTCTTCAACCGTACTATCAGTCTCCCTGCTTCCCCCTCTGCCCTCCACCCTCCCCCACCCCCAGCTCGGGTCCGAAACTCTGTCTGTCCAGAGCCTTGGGACGTCTTTTCAACTTGAAACACACTATACAAATGTAATTTTGTTGTTGTTGCTGTTGTTAATCGGACGTTATGAATGGTGGGAGCTGGGGAGACTGTCGAGGAGAGCATTGAGAGATAAATCAAGACAGGAGGTGATGAATGCTTGAATAAGGGTTTCAGTTGTGTTGGATATGAGACCACAGTGTACAGAAAGAGACTCGAGCTCTGTGAAGAAGAGCATTTCACTACATAAATAGTAATGTAAATCCTTTCTATATATAAACATTGTAATGGCAGCAGCACTGTTTAATGTATATGTCTTTCCCAGAAGCTAAGGTGTGCTGGATTAATCCCACTTAACATCCTCAAACATTCATAAACCACTCTACTCTCCCTGGTTATTATTCTCGTGATCATAAGAAACTGGCTGGTGCATTCACCTAAAATTACAGTCACTTACATTTGATAGCAATTCCCTCTGAAACACTTTTGCCGTATTTAATTTTATTTAGTGAACTGCTGCCTCCAAAGATGATCAACATGTGTGTGTGCATGTGTGTAATCTCGTCTAATGACTCAATTTTAGTTATTGTCAGAAGATATCTGTGCTCATCTCCAATATTTGAAAGTTAAGACAATTAAAATTGTTTCGATTAAAGTTATACTGTACAGTGTTGGTTGCTTAACTGTATGTCAGCAAGCATTAAGCATTGTACAAGGTATGGGCAGAATATACATTTATATTGTGACATGAAGAGAATCGTTTCGAGGCAAATAAAGTCCAAAAGGTTAGTTGCCTCACCCCAAAACATTATGCAAATTTTTAATGCAAATTAATTTAATATTCGAATCGGATGACTATCCAATAGATAGCTGACGCGGGTCGGTTATATCCTCAATTTCCTTCTAGTTGGCTAGGATTCCTAAATGAGCTTTGCATGTACTTGTCTTATACACAGTTCAGGAGAACATTCTGTTTCCAATGTGTAATAATATAAGAAGATAAATGCTGGACGAAAAAAAAACAATGTCCATCTAGTTCTCCTTCCACCTTCCTGGCGCTTGCATGAACATTTGTCCCAAACTGCCTACCGATGTACTATCCCATACTGTTATTTCCTCAAAGAAAACAATCTAATCTGTGTTCTTAAAATACAATGTACTACTACAACAACAACAACTTGCATTTATATAGCCAGGGGAAGGGGACTTTAAGCAGGATCAAAAAGGAAGGTTTTTAGGCGGGATTTGAGTGGGGAGGGAGGGTGCAAGGCGGAGGGATTGAAGGAGAGAGTTCCAGAGTTTCGGGGCATAGTGGCTGAATGCACGGCCACCGATAGCAACAACAAGACAGTTCCTTTACATCTGCCTGAATACCAAGGCAGACGGAAGCTAAATTAATAACAAATATGTGAACAGAGGGGGGAGTGGATTATCCTAAAATCGTACACTGTCACATCAATCACATTATTCCAGCATCTTTCAGTGAAGAGTCTGAGATGAATTAATTCAGATTTGATTTAACATGTGGAATGGCTCGAGCTGTCCACTTGACGAAATATTCCATTGAAAATATGCAGTAACCGGCCACAAACAGCCAGATGGTGTGAGTGCAGTGGGAGGCTTCCATACTCTGTATCTCAGTCATTCTAGATCTACTCAATAAGACATCGCATCATGTACTCCAGCTGTAAAAGACAGTTGTCGCGGAGATGATTGCAGGCTAGAGAAACCGTTAGCGTAGAGAGGTTGTCGAGGGATAGCAGTCAAATCGCTGCCTGTCATTTTTCGCCCAGAATTTTCAGGGAGCAAATTTGTGAAGTATTCTGATGTGTGTTGGATCAGAAATTCCAAGAATTGTTTGGCAGACACTTTAAGGCGTCCCAACCAGTTTATGAAATTTGCTGCAGTTCAGCTCAATAGAGAAAATGCATCTGACTCTCTCGGCTGTTCAGAGTTGAAACAAAAGAGGGGAACTTGGGGTGGGGAAAAGATATATTTTGTAAAATGCAGCAGATCTGTGACCAACTGGATGGTCTATTGCTGAGAAGAGCAGCAACTTGTTTGAACATCTCCCAAGTGCTTCACAAAGAGCTTGCAGGATGTGCCTGGTGTTTTCAGCTGCTATTTGTATCCTCCTTCACAGTCCATTTCAGCAATATCCTCAACCACAGCTCGAGTCTGTTATCTGTACGTCCGAGCCTGGGACCGGCTTAAGAGCTTAGCAGTTGAGATGGCTAATGTACAGAGTTACCAATGTTGGCATTGTTTGTCGGGGTGGGGGAGGTAAGTGTAAATACTGAACCAGCTCCAATGTGATGTACTTGGCAATGAATGTCAGCATTGAGTCAGTCATCTGGTGTGATGAGTTGTCCGGATGCTAAGTCAGGCAGGTCTGCACTCTCCAGAGCACTACTGATGACAGCTACCTGGCTTGTCTGGCTCATTGTCAGACTCTATCAATGTAAAGCCCTCCGTGCATGAAGGGCCCTATGTAAATGCAAATTGTATTGAGCGCTCTGAGACACGACCCTGCGTGGAGGGCACTATATAAGTGCAAGTTGTTGTTGTCAGCAGGGCTAGGAAAGACTCTTCCCACGCACCCCATATTAACCCTCCAAGCCAAAGATCTAACAGGTAGAGTGGTCCTAACTGGATAAGCAGCAAGAAGCTAGCGAGACAGTGCGCTCTGAAAGCTATAATATAATAATACTCGCATTTGCTATACCTCCTTTTCACATCTTCGAGACGTCTCAAAGCGCTTCACAGAATATACCGTACAGCGAATTGACTGCTTCAGTTTTATCTGGTTAAACCTCCAGCAATCACCCCAATACACCCTCTGGATGAGGATCCCAAGTCTTGGCTCTCACCAACTTCCACCTAATACGCCTGAATTCAAGTTGCGGGGTGCGTCCCGACAGGGAGAGAGTGCGCATTCCATTCCAGACGCGGGAATTTCCAAATGTGGGTAACATAACGTGTGGAACTCTAGGAAAGGTTTCGATACTCCTGAAGCACAGTGATTGCTTTCAGCATGTGTCAGGCATTCGACTGACCCAAAAATATTTTTTCTCAACTTCCAGTTTTCTCTTGCAACAGATCCGCTCATTTTCTCAGCTTGCTCTTGTGTTTTCCTGTCTGAGTTCGGAGCAGCATGTTTTTAACTCTGTGTCATAATACTGGTCTTGTTTTGCACATTCGGGGATGTGACCTTGTACTTTGTTGGCCAACTGCTGTATTTTGTTTGTGTTTTAGGTTATGGCGCAATGGCAGAGGTGTGCACAATCGTAGAGAAGGTTGAGGAATGCCTGCAGCAACGTTTTCCTGCAGCAAATCAGGATGAACCTTGAAAAAAATACATTCTTTTATTCTTATTCGGAATGGCATCCTACATTGTACTCACAGCATCGGTCTTGAGTTCTTCCCCTTAATTGGGAGAAACGTGGAATTGTTTTGCAATTCAGTCGATTTGCAGTTAATGGAACTACAGTACTGGGATTCACATCGATTCTTTCTTAGCAGCTGAAGGGCACCAGATCGACAGTCAGCCTTTAAATACACAAAGTACTGACTTGTGACTCATGCTGCCAGCATCGTTTTGCAGCTGGATAATCCCGAGAAATATCGCAGAGGTGACTGAGCATTCCCACATCACTGGTACAAGGCCCCACAGAGCCTTTTAGCTTTCCTCTTTCCCTCTGACATCAGATGCTTTCAACACCGTCATGAATCTCGCCTGGTTAATTTCACTCATGTTCTAGCCCAACCATCGCATGTGCGTGGTTGACAAATGGTCCATGGTTAAATTTTAATATCAGAGCAAGTATTGGACTTTTTAGCGGCTTGGGACGTCCTCCCGAGCTGAAAGGCGCTTTACAAATATAATTTTGTATTGTATTTTGTATTGTTTAGCTTGGACGTGTTTGGCAGTCTGGAGGCCGGCCTGATCCAGGCGTATTGTGATGGATTTATTGCACTACGACTGTTCCTTACATTTATTTGCATCTCCACAGCTGTTATCATTTACCCGCATCGCTACTCTGGCGAGTCATTGCATTGTTGGAGCATGAGGCGAGCTCCTGAAAGTCCTGCCATGCGTTGTTTCCCACGTTACTGGCGCTCAAATTTTCTACAACAAACTTACAAAGAATTGCCTTTTTTTTAATGGATATTTATGACCCAAAGATCAGGCGCTGAGGTTAAAATAATCCATCTAAAATGGCTGTGCACTTCATTTATCCATATAAATTACCTCTACATCACAAAGTAAAATGAAGCCAGAGTCTCAGTATTTTTTTTAAAAAGAGTAATGCACAAAGTGCCCTTTTGTTTCTTCCTCTCCCACTGCCCCCGCCCCTGAACGATGGCTCAGCAAATTTATTCTGTGAGCTGCTAAACCATGCCAACTAGGAAGTTGTTGGGTCAAGTGCAATATACAAGCTGAGTTAGAAAATTTCAGAGCCGGGTAGACAGCTTGTGCGTTTCAATCGGCTTCAGTAGCCTGAGTCAAGAAAGAGAAATCAGGCAGCGTTCCCGTTCCTGATTGCTATCTAATGACATCTCCGCCCCTCCCAACCCCCAGAAGGCGATTGTGTGTGAAATTTACAGTACAACAGTACAGAACTGCAATACGAATTTACATTGATATAGCACCTTTCACATCAGGACTTCCCAAGCCACTGAGCAGTCCAGGGTTTGACCCGAGCTGAGGGTTGTGGGGTGGGGGGGACAGATGATCGAAGGAGCGGTCAATGAGGAAGGTCTTGAGGCTGACCTTGAACGAGGCGAGGCAATCTACACCAATATCAGGCCTGAATAATTTGCGTACATTTCTCTCTGGCATAACAACAACAACAAGAAGATTCCATTTATAAAGCGCCTTTCACGTCAGGAGGACGTCCCAAGGCGCTGCACAGTTGGGTCATGACCCGAGCAGGGGGGAAATGGTCAGGGTGAGGGGAGGGAAGGGAGGGAGCGAGGAGGGGGAAGAGAGTCGAGAGGGGAGCTGAAGGCACGGTCAAAGAGAAAGGTTTTGAGACCGGCCTTGAAGGAGGAAAGGGAGGAAGCGGCGAAGGCACTGGGGGATGGAGTTCCAGAGCCTCGGGGCTGAGAGGCTGAAGGCCCGACCACCGATGGTAGGGCGGTTGGGGCGGGGGACGTGGAGCAGACCGGAGCCAGAGGAACGGAGGGTACGGGCAGGTAGGTAGGGGGATAGTAGGTTGGAGAGGTAGGAGGGAGCGAGGCCGTGAATGGCCTTGTAGGTGAGGATGAGGATCTTGAAATCAATCCTCTGGGGGATGGGGAGCCAGTGGAGGCGAGCGAGGGTGAGGGTGAGGGCGAGGGTGAGGGCGAGGGTGGGAGTGATGTGGTCCCGAAGCCTGGTGCGGGACAGTACACGAGCTGCAGAGTTCTGAATGACCTGCAGTGTGGAGGGAGGTGGCGGGAAGGCCGGCGAGGAGAGAGTTCCCATAGTCCAGCCTTGAGGTGATGAAGGCGTGGACCAGGGTTTCAGCAGCGTGAGGGGTGAGGTAGTGCCGTAGTCTGGCGATGTTCCGGAGGTGATGGAAGGCGGTGCCAGTTGTGGTGCGGATGTGAGGGAGAAAGGACAGCTCAGGGTCGAACAGAACCCCGAGGTTCCTGACTGGCTTTGAGAGGTGGAGAGTGCAGCCTTGGATGCTGATGGTGTCAGCGCCTGAGGTGCGGAGGCGCTGACGTGAGCCAATCAGGAGGGCCTCGGTTTTTCGCACGTTGAGCTGAAGAAAGTTGTCTCTCGTCCAGGACTCGATGTCGGACAGGCAGCTGTCAGGACATCGGTGGTCGTGGAGTTGAGAGTAGAGGAGGAAAGGTAGAGTTGGGTGTCATCCGCATACATGTGGGAGTTAACTCCATGTCTGCGGATGATGTCACCACAGGGGGAGCATATAGAGGGTGAAGAGGAGGGGACCAAGGACAGAGCCCTGAGGGACACCACATGAGACAGTGCGGGGGGTGGAGGAGAAGCCATTTGTGGAGACAAAGTGAAGACGGTGAGAAAGGTACGACCTAAACCATTCAAGGACAGTGCCTTGAAGGTTGAGGTGGGAGGACAAGCGGTGGAGTAGGATAGCGTGGTCGACCGTATCGATATAACCCTTGTTCAGTAATGTTTTGCTATTTATCTTATATCATCTATGGATGTTACAGTAGATTAACTTATTCTTAATTTAGATGTTTGATCACTGAGAACTCATATGATCTGTTACAGCAGCGCTGATATGCTGTACATATTCTGACCCCCAACGTCTATTTCCATTAATTTATATCTTTCGTTTATTTTAAATCCTTCACATATTTTAATCCTTGAGTAGTGCAATAATGAAACCATCTCAAACACACGTTCTCACATTTTATTGTTTCTTCACATTTTCTTACAACTAACATCAAAGATAACATTTAACCCTCAGAGCTACAACCGATGGTGATAGATCGATGCTTGATCCCCTGTGGTTAACCTGTAACATCCCACAAATAGATGCTAAACAAGTGACCAATTTTTATCCGACCAGAAAACCCGGAGAAAGACATCTTTTTCAAATCATACCATGGGATCTTTGATGTCTATTTAAACGGTCAGACGGGACCTCGGTTTAATAGCTCACCTGAAAGACGGCACCTCCAACAATCCAGCGCTTTCCCCAGCACTGCACTGCAGTGTCAGCCTAGACACTGAGCTCACATGGCACTTGAACCCACAAGCTTCTGACACGAGAGGGTGAGAGTCCAACCAACTGAGCCAGGCTGACACGAGGAAGCAGAGGAAAGAAATCTCATTGAATTGCTTTGGGATTCACGACTAACAGGCACTCCACTAAGGCGCTTAATTTGATTTCAGGTCAGTTAGCTCTAGGAGCATAACACAATATACCAATTGTAGCTTTCAGAAAATTATTTAATATTCATGTAAACCACTATATGACGAAAGCACTTGCATTTTCTACAAGTTTCTCAGAAAACAAGGTTGTACTGTATTACAAAGCAGCATGGAAGAGAGTGGGTGGGGGTTGGGGATGTGGGGAACAACCACATATTCCCACACACTAAATGGGCACATTTATCCACCCACTTATAATGAGCACTGTATTCTACCAGTTAGAGAATGCAATGAAATACATTATATTAAAGAATGCAATTTAGAAAGTAGTGAAACTGCCCTTTGGTGATTTCGTAAAGGTTGAGAGAGTCTCAGCTGCCTTAACTTTCCTGAAGTGTGCCTCCACCAGATGAAAGACGTGCTGCTGATGTTATTCGAATCAGTCCGAGTGACTGATTTGAACGTGTCTGTTTGTAAATCTTAATGACTCACAAATCACCCAAGCCTACTTTCTTGACAAGAAAGATGGAGAAGAATGATGCTCCTCTGATGCTCCTGGCGAAACACTAGGATATAAAGTGTCAGCCTGGCTTAGTAGGTCGCGTTCTCATCTCTTGAGTCAAGATTGTAGGTTCGAGCCACAGTCCAATTTGGTACTGAGGCGCTCTGCATTGTTGTATCCCACAGTCACCATATTCTTGCAAGTATTTTCCTTTTCAAGATTTAATATTACTTTCCTTCAAGTATTCATCCAGTTGCGTTTCAAACCTTATAATGGTTTCCTTAGTAATTCATCAACTACATTTTTACTTCATATCAAAAAGACGGGGACGATCCCTTTTTTACCGTAGAGAAGAAGTGCGGCAGATGATCCATTTCTAGGCAAATTAACAGGTAAATTGCGTGTCTAGTCTATCTCACTGAGTAGCACTTTCACTTCTCAGTCAGAAGGTTCAGAGTTGAGAGCTGCCATGAGGACTTTGAGCTCACAGTCTAGGCATGATTTGTTCTTGAACCAGAAAGAACCTATTATGGAAATATTGCTATTGCTAAGCTTTGCCAACGAAATGTGAATTTGCAATCATTTTAACGTTGATGATCTGTTTGTGGAAAACCACAGAACATTTGCACCTCTGTACAGAGGGTGTTTGCATTTAATAATAATAATCCGTGCATTTGATATAGCGCTTTTCACATCTTCTAGATGTCTCAAAGCGCTTCACAGAATATACTGTAAAGTGAATTGACTGTATATTTGTGGGCGAACACGGCAGCCAATTGCACACAGCAATGTCCCACAAACAGTCATAGATTGAAAATGACCCATTTATTATTGTTTGTGGTTTTGGAGGGATTATTATTAGGCTCTGTGTGGAGTAAGGAAACTTGCCCGAGGTTTCACCCTCTGCCTGGAATTGAACTCAGGTCTCTCACTTGCAAAGTGAGTGCTCTAACCACTAAGCTACAGGACTCCTGTAGTCCTGAAATGCAGGGCATTTCTTTAGAAGTGAGATAATGATATTAGTATGTGTGATAGATAGTCATAGTCAGAACAATAGACATTGTGGTGTGACTGGAACAAGGAGAAGTCACACATGAGGTATAAATATACCCAGTGTTGCTACTGCTAGTTGGAACAGATCCAGGAGAGAAGACAAAAAGAAGAAATTTTTGTAACTACCTATGAATTACTGTGGAAACCACAATAGCATTCAAACAGAATTGGATGATTATTTGAAGGAAAGTTATATTAAGCAACTTTCAAAAGGGAATTGAATAGGTAGTTGAAAATGAAAAACTTGCAAGGATATGGGGGCAGCACGGGGGAGTGGGACCGAGGGGGTACAACATCTGTGGGAATGTGCAATCGCTTGTGGGTAACCAGAATTTGTGGAGTCCTGTAGCATATTGGTTAATGCACTCGCCTTGCAAGTGAGAGGACCTGGGTTTGATTGCTGGCAGGATGAAACTTTGGGCAAGTTTCCTTACTCTGCACCCCTCTGCTTACCTAGAAGTGAGTAGGAACCCGGTTATTAGTCCGGGAGTAATAATTCCTTCAAAAAGGATAATAATAAATTGATCACTTCAAGCCACGATTCTTTGTGGGACGCTGCTGTGCGCAATTGGCTGCCGTGTTTTGCCCACAATTATACAGTCAATTCACTTTACAGTATATTCTGTGAAGCGCTTTGAGATGTCTCGGAGAAGTGATAAGGCACTATATCAAATGCAAGGATTATTATTATTAACGTTAGCGTGCTCAGTGTAAGTTTATTTTCCATAACCGACCACAGAATATGTGAAGGTGGTGTGGTTGTGCATGTGAAGGGGCTCCAGCCTTACACTATCTTTACATGACCGAGACATTTAAGAGGGACATATCGTGAGCTCCAAAAGCGACTGCTTATCAGCTAATCGAGGCTACG